CTAATTGATATATACATTACCTCACATAGTTATTATTTTGTGGTGAGAACACTTAAAATTTACTCTTAGCATTTTTCAAGAATGCAATATATTGTTATGACTAAAATCAATGTATTGTACAACAGATTTCTTGAATTTATTTCTTCTATCTAACTGAATTTTATTACTTTTGACCAATATCTTCCCCAACCACCCTTTCTCCAGCCCCTGGTAACCATCTTTCTACCCTCTCCTTTTTTTTTTTTAAAGATGGAGTCTTGCTATGTTGCCCAGGCTGGAATATAGTGGTATGATCTCAGCTCACTGCAACCTCCACCTCCCAGGCTCAAGCAATTCTCCAGCCTCAGCCTCCCAAGTAGCAGGGATTGCAGGCGCATGCCACCACACCAGGCTAATTTTTGCATTTTTTGTAGAGACAGGGTTTTGCCACATTGGCCAGGCTGGTCCTGAACTCTGGACCTCAAGTGATCCGCCCGCTTTGGCCTCCCAAAGTCCTGGGATAACAGGTGTGAGCCACGGTGCCTGGCTCTACTCTCTACTTCTACAGAGTCAGCATTTTTGTGCACTGAATAACATAAAATACATAAGGCATTTTCTTTTTATTGAACATAGTTAGAAGTTACCCTGAAGCTATCTTCATAGGTGGCCATGAGACCCAGGCTTGGCCAATCAGACTATTGAATATTCTTGGTACCATGATTTCTCCAAGAAAGGACATCTCATTAAGGTGAGCCAATCAAACCCATTCAAAACTAAATTCAAACTTTTTCCTGGGCAACCAGGATGGAAGTGTTCACTTTTCTGCTGTGAGTGGAGCTGTAAGGACGTTAATGTGGAGCTGGTACAAGATTTTGTAACCTCAAAGAGAGAGGAAAGAGCCTGGTTGTGGTAGGTTTATGGCCAATCCTGATGGATACCTGTTAACACACACATAAAAATTAGAATGTGCTAGTCTCTAATTGTGGAGCAGTAAGAATTTCTTCTAATGATAATAGGGTGGTCCCTTGAGAGCCTGAGAATCTCTGACCTGTCTGATTCCTCAGTACAGACAGGCTACTAGGAGCTTCATATCTGAGACACACTGATGTGTATAATACTGACCTCACAGGGTTTCTTTCCTGGCTTAGTGGTCAAAGGGAAAACAGTGTCAGTAAATTCCCAGTTAACATGCTTGCTAGTATTTGAACCGAGATCAGCCTTTGTAGTCCAGTCTACTTTAGTAACTAAAAATGGGGCCAACAGAGAGGAAAACAGAACTTAGAGGTGAAGGACTGGGTCCTCTGGAGGCTAGTTCGTGATCCCCAGGGAGAGTGTCCATTTTCACTAGTTCAAGGCTGTTTTTATTATTTTCTTAACTTCAATTTATCCCATGATGCACATAAAGTTAATTTGGGCTGTGCCAGACTCCCTGCTGCTTTTCCAGAATGGCTGATGAAAGTTTTCCACTCTTTGTTTTATAGATGAGACACCTTGCCAGTCAGCAGCTTTTGTCTCTAATCGGGGAGCTCGTTCCAGGTCCTAACTTCTGTTAGCTTCATCTATAATCTTGCATGAACATGAAAATATGGTCCCAGCTACCCACCCGTATTTCTAGATCTGATAGCCTCATAAGCTGTTGGCTTTCACTCCCACTGACCATTGTGGTTTTGGCCTAACTCTTCACTTCTGGCATCCAGAAATGTTTCCTTCTAGTTTTCATAGTTGCTTAGGTTTTAAAAAAATTTATCTAGTATTTTCCTGTGTTTGGTCTGTGGGTGGATGGGAAGCCCTTCTGAGTCAAACCAATCTTTCATAGTCGCTAGGAATTTAATTATACTCAGTATTCTATGCCATCTTTTCTCTCTGCCTAACAACATTTTTTCGGGGGGAGGGGGTATTTCCTTCTGGAGGCTTCTGTCTTTCAGCTTTAGACTAGTAGGCTGGATGGGATGATTTCTAGACCTCCTGTAGGGCCTTCGCTGCATGTCCTGGTAGGTGTAGCCAGTGCATCAGCATAGGCTGCGAACATAGTCACTGCCTTGTTCTCCTGGTTCTGACTGCAAGGGCTTTTCAGTTCACTGACTCTGGCTTGTCTCTGTGCTCTTCCTCGGCTGCATGAGGCTATACCCAGTGCCCCCTTTGCCATTCAGGGCATTTCCAGAGGCTGTTTAAGGTCTGCTGCGTAGATGCCCCCTCCCCTTCTTCTGCTCCGTCTCCATGATGGGCATGGGGGAAATGCTGAGATCTGGCAAGAAAGGGCAGCACAAGCTTCTTCTCTGGAGATCTCTCTCCCACTCCTCTGACTTAATCAAGAGAGACAGAGCCTAGGTCCCCTCCCGGGAGATCCACAGGACCTGAACCCTCTTATTCCCATTCTTTTCCTCTATCTCCCAAGTTTGGGGAAATTTTCTTTAGTGTCTAGGGCATGAGAAACCAACTCTTGGAGCATATAATATATTCTAAATTTTTTCCCTGTCTTGCCAGGTCCTTGGGTTTTGCCTGAAAGCTAAGAATGGACTCTTTTGTTCTCTGCGTTCTGCTGTGTCATCCTTTCCCTGAAGTGGGAAGATGGAATGCCCTGCTGCCTGAGCTGAGGGAAGGTCACAGGGAACAATGAGGAAAAGCCCTGTGAATATCTTGACATTCTGTTAATCATAAATGCTTGGGTTCTGTGTTTCATCCCCAGCCAGAACTCCACTACAATTTTTGGGAGGTGTTCTATTATTTTCTAGTATTTTATAATTAGTGGATGGATATATTTAGTAAGTTAACCTGAAAGTAGCTAATTAAATCATTTGACATATCCCCTGTATGATATCAAAACATCCCTCTTTAATTTCTAGAATTCGAATCTGCTATTTTTTGAACGCCATCCATTCATTCAGTATTTATCATGTCCCTAGTAAGGTCAGCTACTATGTTTTCTGCTGGAGGAAAGTGTGAGACAAACAAATAATCCCTTTGGAGGAACCACTGACACACATGTGTGGGAAAAAATAATCCCGTCTCTCAAGATGCTCTTGTGGTGGTGGAAATGCAGACAAATTACCCCAAAATTATAAAGAAGAATAAGAGTTATAATAGTGAAATGTATAGAAAAGGGGGCAAAGAAGAGAAGCCCATTAACTCTGGCTGGCAAAGCAAGAAAGAGCTTCACAGAAGAGATGACTCTTGAGTTGGGTCTTGAAGAATGGGTCTTCAAATAGAGAAGGACGAAGAAATTCAAGTTGGGGGGCAGTGGGAAGAAAAGGTAACTGGGGAGAGGAAGAAGCTGGTAAAGCCCCATACAGACATGAACATGTGCCATGGGAAGAGAGAGACTGTGGAAGTGATAGTAGAGAAATGAGGAGCAAAAATAAAATAATTAGAAAGATTTGAGCTTTGGGATTTAGGAAATGTATATTAATTTATTTAGAGGCAGAATCTGGCTCTGTTTCCCAGGCTGGAGTAGAGTGGCACGATCTCAGCTCACTGCAACCTCCACCTCCCAGGTTTAAAAGATTCTCCTGCCTCGGCCTCCTGAGTAGCTGGAACTACAGGCACCTGCCACCATGCCTGGCTAATTATTTGTGTTTTTAGTAGAGACAGGGTTTCACCATGTGGGTCAGGCTGGTCTCTCACTACTGACTTCAAGCGATCGCCTGCCTCCGCCTCCCAAAGTGCTGTGATTACAGACGTGGAGCCACCACGCCCAGCCCACTTATTGTTTTCTAAATATAAGTGATCAAATATATGATTGGGAACTTTTCATGTGCAGGTAATTTTGTAAAGCTCTGTAAGTGATAAGAAACTAATAGCTTCTTATGTATAGTTTTTCCATATCTTAAGAAGGCGGAAGAAACTAATAGCTTACCATCTAATTTGTATGTGTACTAAGTCAAATATATGTATGAGTAATTATAAAACAATTTATATAAAACATTAAGTGCTAGGGTATAACAACTTTATTTTCAGGATAAGATAAATTAATAACACAGTAGAAAACAACCCACAATCTCAGTGGCTTAGAGGAACAAAAATTTATTTCTTACTCCTGAGGAGTCCGATGCAGCCTGGGAGATTCTCCAGGACAGCTGTCCAACGTGTGCTGGCTCAGCCTATGGGACTACTTTGGTCGCAAGGCACCTCTACATGGATATGTCTCCATTATGACCACCGGAAAGAAGAGTGGGCAGGAGCCTCGACTACTGGCAGTTAAATACTTCTACCCAAGTGAATGTTGCAATGTTCACATTGCACTGTCAAAACAAGTCATATGACTGTGGCTAACTTCAAGGAGGGTAAAAAAGGACTATCCGCCCAGGTATGAGGATGTAGAGAGGGTCAGACAGTAAAAATGCTCATCAGCATGCAGTAAGATAAACACAACAATAACAATAGAAAGAATGAGGGGCATTCTCAAGCAGAAAGCAATTATACTTAGCATGTCATGTAATAAAAGGCAATTCTGTTTTTCTGTCAATTGGTGAAAGGGTGTTCTTTGTTACTTCACTTTATTATGACCGTAGGAACTGGCTTGCTAGAGCTATTAATTCAATCCTGGCTCCCAAGCTGGTTGATTTTGTAGACTCTACAGGACTTCCATGCTTTCTTTATATCTTTATTCCTTTCTTTTATATGTCTCAGATGTGTAGTCTAAGGAAATGGGATCTGGGTAAGAGAGTTTTTGGTAAAGTTCTAGAAAGTATCAGTCTACCTTCCAAGAACTTTTCATTGCTTCTTTGAAGACATGGGTCTTTTTAAACAAAGGTTTTTTTTTAAGTGGTTGAACCAAATGACTTAACCTAATCAATTAGTAATGTCTCCATCTTGGAACATAGATGCCTATTAATAAGACAGCCGTCAGGGTGCAACCAGAAATTCAGCATAGGAATAATGGCAGTTGGTCATATTGATCTTAAATAAATACAAGGGAAAAAATGGTCCCAGGGCTTTACAGAAAGTGAGAACTTACTAAACAAGAAACCTAAATTTTCATTCCTCTTGTAAGCACTTAGGAGAAAGTCAGGAACTTGTGTGTCTTTCCTACTTATTTTGTCTTTACCTCTTACCCAATTCTTAATTATCATTCAGTAAGAGTAAAAAGAGAAAATACTTGTCTACCTGTTTTAAAATTACAATGATCAAATTATTCCAAACCTTTTTCCAGTTCTTTGGAAATATGTATTACCATACATATATAAAAGAAAAAGAAATCTCTGCATTAGCTCTCAGGTGGGGATATAAAATAAAATATGACTTTTCCATATTTTAAGAAGTTGGCTGCTTTAAGAACTAGGAAGATTCAAGTTGTCAATACCATGTTTTAAAGTGAAATTTGGAACTGGAATTTATAATGTTGTGATTTAAAACACGGGCGTTTTTTGAGATTATTAGAAAAGAGAATATAGAAATTACTGTGTAGGCTTTAGGAGGAACTGAAACCAAGCAAATATTGTTTAAAAAAAAAAAAAAATCCCAGTTCTCCAATGCGAGTGGCCCCCTCTGTAGGGGGCAGCAGAGACGTCGGGAGAAGGAGATCGCGGCGACCCAGGAGAGGCCAAGCGGGTCCGGGCAGTGCCCGCGCCAGGCTGTGGGCTGCGGCCCCAGGGGCGGGGGTCGGAGGAAGAGGCGGAGAGGCGGCCCCACAGATAAGCGTTTGCAGGCGACGCTCTCCGCCCGCCGGACGGGAGGCGGGGTAGCAGCCGGATTAGAGAAGCAGCCTGGAAGGAAGGAAGGAAAGAGCGAGGGAGGGACGGGAACGGCAGGAGGAGGAGCAGTGAGCTGGGCTGCAGCGGCGGCGGGAGGAGGAGCGGCCCCCGCGAGGCCACGTTTTGTTTTTGTTATTTTCCATTGGAGTAGTTGTCTGAGGCCTTTCCCGAGGACTGACCGCGCCGCAGCCCGGCAGCCCCGACCTTCCAGGTGACAGCCGGTCACCCTGGTAGGAGTCAGCTCCGCCCCAAGTCACCCCCTCCCGCCCACAGCCCCATTCCCCCGCCCAGCCACCCAGTGCCTGCCCGAGGCGAGCGCGGCGGCCGCAGCGGGGCGGCAGCGCTGGGGCGGGCGGCCGCGCGGACCCTCGGCGAGGACCTCTGACCCTGCAGACCCGCGACGGAGGAAGGGGAGGTCCTGCCCGAGACGCCAGCCCGAGGAGGAGGATGCCCGTTTAACCCGCCCCCGCCTGCCGGTCCGGCTGCCGGGCGCTCACTTCGGTGCCCGCCACTGGAGCCTCCGAGCCGCGCCCCTGGAAGTGCCGCATGGGGCAGGGCCGCTGAAGCACGGAGTTCGGGGTCGCGCCGCTCCTAGGAGGGCGCGGGGCCCGGGTGCGGCAGTTGGCACAGTTTCGGCGGCGTCTTTTGCGCGGGAGTAGGGGGTGCGGTGCGTCCGGCCGGGCTCCGCCGTGCCCTGGAGAGCCTTGAGTTATGGAGCCGCCCAGCTGCATTCAGGATGAGCCGTTCCCGCACCCCCTGGAGCCCGAGCCGGGCGTCCCAGCTCAGCCCGGCCCCGGGAAGCCGGGCGACAAGCGGTTCCGGCTGTGGTACGTAGGGGGGTCGTGCCTGGACCGCAGGACCACGCTGCCCATGCTGCCCTGGCTCATGGCCGAGATCCGCAGGCGCAGCCAGAAGCCTGAGGCGGGCGGCTGCGGGGGCCCTGCGGCCCGCGAGGTGATCCTGGTGCTCAGCGCGCCCTTCCTGCGTTGCGTCCCGGCGCCGGGCGCCGTGGCCTCGGGGGGCACCAGTCCGTCGGCCGCGCAGCCCAACCCGGCCGTGTTCATCTTCGAGCATAAGGCGCAGCACATCTCGCGCTTCATCCACAACAGCCACGACCTCACCTACTTTGCCTACCTGATCAAGGCGCAGCCCGACGACCCGGAGTCGCAGATGGCCTGTCACGTTTTCCGGGCTACAGACCCCAACCAGGCAAGACCCAGGCTCGGAGGCGCGAGGGGCGGGCTCGGCTCTGGGGGATCAGGGAGCAGGGCGGGAGGGCCAGGGACCCCACTTTAAGGACCGACTGAGGTTTGGCTGCTGGCGCGCGCCATCCACGTGGCGCGCTCGAGCGCCGGCTTGTCCCTTTTCCCTGACCTTGGGAGTGGGAGAGAAAGCGTTCGGGGGCTGGGCGAGTGGCGGGAGCGGCTGGCTGGCTGCAGGAACCGGAGGGAGAAGGATAGCGGTCCCGGGATGGAGGAGGAGCTGGCGCGTCCTAGGAGCACGCGTGGAGGAGCGCGCGTCCCGGGAGGACGGCGGTGTCTTGAGTGTGACCGGTGATGACTTGCTTGCAGTGTGTGTACGCGCGCGCGCGTGTGCGTGAACGCAAGAGAAGGTTGGGTTTTTAGAGGTCCTCAATAGTTCTCAGTCGCGGTCAAATACTTAACCGGTTTGGCTGGTCGCGTCATCATCACAGCAGCACCTGCAGGTCTGCAGTCAGGGAGGCGATTTCGGAGCCGGGCTTACGGAAAAGTTACTAGACATTGTCAAATTGTCTACAAAGTAGGATTCTACATTTGGATATTGAATGGAAAGAATCCCCCCCCCCTTGTTTTTTCTTTTCTTTTCTTTTTTTTTTTTTTTTTTTTTTTTTTTTTTTTTTTAACACAGGTGTTGGAGTTAGTGTAGAAGAGGTTGCTAATATTTTTTAAAATGATGTTTCCCTTTTGTTTTTAATATTTTTTTTCAGCGTCTTCTAAGTCGAATTATCAAGCAGTAAACTTTTACTTCCTTAAAAACAGATATGGTCCTTATGGAACAGGGAGAGGAAGACTTGACTATGCAGTGATTGTGCCTTTGCAGGCTTTTCTGCCTTTAATTTGTAATGAACCCCCCCCCCACCCATATCAAAAGCTTCCAAAATGCTGTTTTAAAAATGGCTAGTTAATGCTTGCACAGTACTTTAGTTTCTTTGGAAAAACAGTGTTGTCTAAATATAAATAAAGTCTCAGGTTGCACCATGTGGCTTTCTTTTGGTAGCTGGGAAATTAATAGTAGTCAGATGAGAAAAACATCCTATAAATAAGGCTTTAATTTATTTCACAATTCTTCTGTCTGTAATCGAAAGACTTAATTTAATAGTTTTCACAAAAGACTTGTTGAATTGAAAAAAAAATAGTTCATTCTCGTAGATTTCATCAGTTACTTTGCAAAATAGTTAACTATCTTCTTTTTCTTGGGGGGTGGGGGTGGAGTCTCGCTTTGTCGCCAGGCTGGAGTGCAGTGACACGATCTCGGCTCACTGCAACCTCCACCTCCCAGGTTCGAGTGATTCTCATGCCTCAGCCTCTTGAGTAGCTGGGATTACAGGCAACCAGCAATCAGAACTCCTAATGTGAAGAGAGCAGTTTTAACTTCTGATCACTATTAGGTTTACGGCAAAATATTGTGCTACAAATTATTTCAAGATTCTAACCACGATTTAATGAATTTCATTTTGTGATCATTTGTTCAAAACTTATTTTTAGCTTTCACATGTTAAAATTGGAAAGTTTCTGAAAGCTATTACATCTTTATTGTATTAAATTTTTCTGGTGCCGGTGGTGAAGAGGAGCCAGTTGCATTTTTCCAAGACTTTAAGGAACTTTTCATGACTCTTAGGGGTTTATGTTCAAGTTATTCATCCGCTTCCCATGCCACATCTGATGCCTGACACGTTGTTGCTAATCCATTGATGGTCATGGCATCTTGAGTTCTCAACAGCTGTTGAGTTCCTCCTGGTCTCATTGGTAGGAAGTCCATTGTAAACATTCCTTTTTTCCCCTCCATTATATATTTAAGCATTAGAGGCTGAACTATATAAATATCAATATGATTAGGCTCATTTCCCCTTTTTTGTTCAGGGGGAGCAGTGGAAGCCATGTGACTTTATGATAAAAGTTCAAGAAAACCGTTAACTTTTCTGTTTGTTGCCATTTCCCAGATGAGTGTTTGGTCTAAAGATATGAGTTACTATTTGCTCTTAACCAAGAGATTCCCTGGCAGAGCATTATTAATTTGAAGGGCCAGATGTAGTGTCTCTAGGGAACATCTGCAGTCATTAATCAGTGGTTGCAAACTCAAATGACAAGGAAGAGGGTTGCGTGAGGACTATTGAGAACTGGATAGTGAGTGTCCTTTCTGAGGATGCTACTTATCTCCAGTTGGAAATTGCATGAATGGAATACAAGCCTAGCATTTCTAGAGCTGCTGATTTCCCAAGAGAAAGTAGAAATCAGATTTCTTTTTTTCTTTTTTTCCTTTTTTTGAGATGGAGTTTCGCTCTTGTTGCCCAGGCTGGAGTACAATGGTGAGATCTCAGCTCACTGCAACCTCCTTCTCGCAGGTTCAAACGATTCTCCTGACTCAGACTTCCCAGTAGCTGGGATTACAGGCACGCACCACCATACCTGGCTATTTTTTAGTATTTTTTTTTTTTTTTTTGAGACGGAGTTTCGCTCTTGTTGCCCAGGCTGGAGTGCAATGGTGCGATCTCGGCTCACCGCAACCTCCGCCTCCTGGGTTCAGGCAATTCTCCTGCCTCGGCCTCCTGAGCAGCTGGGATTACAGGCATGCGCCACCATGCCCAGCTGATTTTTTGTATTTTTAGTAGAGTCGGGGTTTCTCCATGTTAGCCAGGCTAGTCTCCAACTCCTCTGACCTTAGGTGATCCTGCAGTCTTGGCCTCCCAAAGTGCTGGGATTATAGGTGTGAGCCACCACACCCGGCCAGAATAACATCATCCCTCTAACTTCAATGAAAATTTTAGTGACCTTCTAGTTTTGTAAGTCTGGGTGATTTGCAATATTTTATGTTATAAATACACTTATCCAATAATATTTATATGCTCACATCTAAAGATATTTTATGTATGACCCCACATTTTAAAGTATTGGCAAATACCATAAACATTTAATAAAGAATCTTATCTGGGCCAAACAATGCACATCTGAGAGATGGCTTCAGAGACCCATGAGCTGCCACTTTTGATCTTTGGTGTAAATATTTGTTAAATGGACAAGTGCAGTCATTGACACTCTGTGCTGTTTGCCATATTTCCTTTAGAGCATCCGGCTTCATTTGATACGGCTCTTATAGTAGGGAAAGTTGGGACCATCGTTTTTGTAGAATTTACTAGAAGAATTCCCAGAAGTGTTGATTCTGCAGCTGGACATGTTAAAGGGGTCAGTTTAACATAGTATCACCCAGCAGTATGCGTCATGCAGAGTTGGCTGTGGATAGTTCTGGTTACCCTTGAAATCAGAAGGAAGACCTGCTGTTTGCTTTGTTCTGAGTTCTACATTTGAAGTGGAGAATTATTTATTTGGACTTAAGATCATTGTTAAGAGAGTCTCCTAAGTGTTTCCCTCAGTCCTTGACAAAGTATACAAAGCCTACAAAGGCAGCTTGGAGCGGTAGACCTGCAAACATCCCCCAACATACTTGCCTCTGGTTTGTTTCTCATCCCTATTCCTTTTCTGCAACGGCCCTATCTATTGGATGACCATATACTTTATTGTTTTATCTGGGACAATTTTGTCAAAAGGGGCACCATTAATAATTACACAAGTACTGTGAGTAATAAACCTAATAATTACACAAGTACTGTGAGTAATAAACCTGGGCCGTGCAGGACAAACTGGGATATGCGGTCACCATGGCAAAGTTTGTGTTCATGCGGATCCTCTGAGTTGGAGGATTGTGGGTACTAATATAAAATGATAATATTTTTAGGAATATCTACTCACATATTCAAATTGGATCTACATTTGACCTCAGAGCTGGGAGTGCTGTACTTGAGTCTATTGTGGGGAGTTGCCACAGTGATGTGCCCCCTCTTGGTTCCATACCTCCCTGGTGGGTCAGAGTTCAACTTAAGGATGTGTGTCAGGAGAAGCATTCAACCAGAATGGCTCGACACACCACTTTTCCTCCCAGGTGCAAAGACAAATGGAGATGGGGGTCAAAAATATGCCAACGCAGATCTGTCTCTATCAAGTTATTCATGTATTCAATATCAAGTGTTAGGATAGGTCACTAATAAATACTTGATATTGCAGGACAGGTCACTAATACTTGATATTTCAGGATAGGTCACTAATACTTGACATTTCATATCACGGTCCTCACTCAACCCTCTTCCGCTGTCAGGTCTCTGTAGTCTTATGCAGGAGGAGTGTCAGGCTTAGCACTTTTCAGATAAACTTGAATATTTGAACTAGGAAAGAGGCTTAATCCCACTGGCATGAAGTGAGTTACAGACTTAAACTGATTGGGGAACTAAGAATATCTGATTGTCTCCCAGAGGTCTAGGATAGGTCATTAATACTCTGTAAATATCTACTTTCAAAAAGAGTCTATATGGCATTACCCAAATTTTTCTGTTAAAAAATTATTTTGTTATACATATATTGCCACAATAAAAAATTAAGCAGGAGTTGTCATTGTAAATATGAGACTAAAGGTTGTTAGTTAACGTGCATGGGAGTTTTGAGGCATCATTATATTTCATAATTATAGGATGGACAATCATTTAAAAGATAAAAACATGATTGTTATAATGTTCATTGATTGTGTTTGTGTATATATTTACTGAAGCTTGCAAGAATGATTTTAAAGAGTTTATATATTGTGTTTTTAAAATTAAAAAAATGAATTTAATGCTATTTTTCTCTAACTCAGTTCTCTTAAAAATGTTTATTACTAACTGAGCTTTATTTTGTTATTTAAAAATAACTGGTAACCAGTTTATTGTCAATATATTTTTAGAAGGTCATTCTTCAGTTCTTTTTCTAAGTTGATGGTTAGTAGCTTTGGAAATATACTAGTGAGAATACCAGAGAAATTGAAACCTGGAAGATTGTACCTCTCTCTGCTTTCTGAGAAGTTTGTTCTATGGACAGATAGATCTATCTTTTTTCTTTTTCTAATCAATTTTTTATTCTCTGTTCTCC